GACTTTTTGAGCATGGACAACACGCGTCTCCGGTCGGGTCGCCGCCTTCAAGGCCCTTCACTCGTGTCATGAAGTTTGAGACTCGAAAAATGACAGAAACGTCAGCAACATCAAATCGAATTCTGAATTCATTAATTGATCAGTTCTCGCTTAACCAAGGCAACGTTCCTAAGCTACAAACAGTCCAAAACTTTGTCTACAATCACAAGAAAACAATTCTCCTCCAAACAGATATACTGGACGATATGATTTCCATTGTAAGAAGTGCTCAGTATTCTGACGATCTTTATGAATCGACTACGTTCACGTTTGGATATAACGTGGACAATGAAGGAGATCCGGTTCTTGGAGACGGGACAGACGAAGATCCTTTCGTTGTGGCGTTTTCTACGAAAACAATGATGCGTCAGCTGGATCGTGATCCCGAGTCTTTCTTATTTCATATGGACGCAACATTTAAGCTGAACACAGTTGGGTTTCCTCTGTTTGTGTGTGGAATTTCAGATGCATCGCGGTCATTTTTTCCAGTGGCACTTTTTCTGGTTTCACAAAGAACTGAAACTCAGTACGCAGCTGCGCTACTTTCAATTAAACAACAATTTCTTCGTGTTGTCGGACGTCCCGTGAGAGTTACGTACTTTATGGCTGACGCGGAGGACGCCCAATACAACGGATTCAGGCGCGTGATTTCGTCAGGGTCTGAGTCATCGTATATAATGTGTTGGTTTCACGTAGTCAAGAATGTACGAGACAAGCTGAAAGGACTTTCAGATACAGCAGTGCATCTGGTATTCAAACATTTATACGAGATGCACTATGCTCGTAATCACCTTGAGTACGAAGAGCTCAAGGCGACAGCATTTCAGAAGTGGGCTAATGTGGATTCGCTAGGTAATTTTATCGATTACTTTAACCGGGAATGGGTTATTTCTCGTTATTGCAACTGGTAGTGTTTTCATTCTCCATCCGGGTACGCTAAGACGAATAACCCCGCTGAGACATTCAACAAGCTGATTAAAAGAGACTACAGTCTTCGCGTACGTCTTAAAACGGGCGAATTGATGCAGAAAGTACTGCTTTTGTGGTAAGCACCAATCTATTCGTGCCTCTGTTTTCAGCAATTGAAGCCAAGCCTAGTGAAAAACTCGTTTCTCGTGCGAAAAAATTGTATTTATCACCGAATCTCGCTATAACAGAGAGACAATACGACATTCGCTTTTTGCTTGGCGAAATGAGCACGGCTGAAGATATACTCGTAGCTCGGAGCTACAAGAGTGGTGATGATTATCGGGACACACAGGATAAAAAAGAGGTGAACAAGCGGCGAATGGAGCGATGGGGTCAGCCGACACATGGATGGGATGTAAACGTTACTCGGCGCGTGTGTCCATGTCGATCGTTTTTTAAATATGCATTTTGTGTCCACTTAGTTGTGTGCATGAAGATACGAAAGCTAAGAGTGGCTGGCTGGAAAAATGATCCACGTCCTCTTGCTAATCGTAGGATTAGACGGAATCTTTCCTCTAACAAAATCGGGATGGTAACTACCACGACCATCAACACTGTTGAAAGAAGCAACGGCGCGTCCAGTAATAGTCGACGGGGTGATCGATCTGGATCAGGACGCAACCTAGGTGGTCGACGTATCTCGGCAAGAGGTCGTGGCAATGGTATCTTACGGGATAGTATTGGTGATACAAGAAGAGATCGGACTGATTCCGCACGACGCCAGACAAATATCTCCCTTCGTGGATGTAGGGGTAGAGGTGGCACTGGAGGACGACCGAGAACTGTTGGTCATGCATTACAAAGAGAATAGATGAACGGATG